AGGTCAGTAAGTCCTTATTGCATACAAATAAATCACTTACCCCAGTCTTTCTCTCTCTCTCTCTCTCTCTCTCTCACACACACACACACACACACCACTCTCTCTCTCTCTCTCACACACACACACCCCCCGCTCTCCACATTGGCTACAGACCCTATAGAGCATGGCACCTGACAGCTGTGGAGCCTAGATCATTCTTTCTATGGGTTTTTGTTTCTTTCCTTCTCTCCTTTATTTTATTTTATTTTGGTAGTGTGGGTTCAAGTGGACAGAGCAAGTTCGTTTTCCATTCAGCAATTTATACACATTTTGTTGTGGCGGCTTTAGTTACACTGCCCTCATTGTCACAGCACCCTCGCCACCTCCCTCTGCGCTTCTGTTCTCAGTCATCCTTCTGCCCTGCCCTTCCCTGCTTTCAGAGTTTTTGCTTCAGCACAGATGTCCCCCTTGTGGTCTTGCATGGCCGACTGTGCTGAGGACAAGGTTCCTCTCTTGTGTCATTAGTCATTTTAGAGGCCTGGCTGTTGCGTGGTGCAAAGCTGTCCCCGGCAGTGGTTCAGTTCCAGGCGTGGGGTGTGTCTCACAGCTAGAGCGTCTTGGAAGTGCCGCTGGTTTCAGTCAGACCAATAAGTCTCATCTGTTTTATGATTTTGAATTTTGTTCTCCATTTCTCCCCCTCCCGTTCTGTCCAGGACCTTCCGTCATGACTGCGACCGGAGTGGTCCGCAGTGGTGGTCAGTTACCCCGCTGCTTCTGGTCTCAGGCTGGTGAAGGCTGTGTTAGTGTGACTCACTAGTCCTTCGGACAGTTTTCCTCTTTTGTATTGGACAGTTTGGTCTTTGGCTGCAAAAACAAGCAAACACACAAACGACAACAAAACTTGGAAATCCATCCTTCTCAGGGAAGCAGAAAATAGTCCCTACCACAAAGAAAAGATGCTTATTTAATCGAGATTAAATTTAAAAGTATCATTAAATAAATCTGAGATTAACTTCCAAAACAACTATCTTTTATTCATTCCTTGGGCAACCAATGCCCATTCTATGAGTTAATCATCATAGTTAATTGTAACTAAAATCCAAATATCCATTAACAATCTGATAGTTATTGTGTTAGTCTGGGTAGACTAGAGAAACAAATCCATGGACACACCTATGTGTATAAGAAAGAGATTTATATATAAGAGTGATTGAACATTGAGAAAGCATCCCAACCCAGTCCAGTCCAAGGCCATAAGTCTGATAATATGTCTGATACCAATCTATAAAGTCCTCTTCAGACTCACGAAACACATGCAATGAAGCCAAATGCAGGACGATCACAAGCCAGTGGGTAGAAAGTCTTTGGGTCCAGTGGTGTTGTAAGCATCTTCGTGCTGGCAGGGGTGGCTACGTGGCTTCTCTGGCTTCTGAGGTCTGGTTGCATCCATGTAGCTTGTCATCTGCAATGTCTCCCAGGAAGTGGCAGAGAGAGAGGTGTCTTTCATCTCCAAGAAGGACGTACCAGATTTCCCAGAATTCTCAGGAGAAGTCCATGCCCACAGAAGTCTCATTGGCTGTCTCCAGATTGACAGCCTCGACTCCACCCCTACACTCTGAATCCTTAAATTGTCACCAGATTAGGTGACTACCAGTTATCTAATGTGGTTGTGTTAGTCTGGGTTGACTAGAAAAACAATTTCATAGACACTCATATGTGTATAAGAAAGAGCTGTATATAAAGAGTAATTGCATATTAAGAAAACATCCCAGCCCAGTCCAGATAAAGTCCATAAATCCACTATTAGTCCTTATGTCCGATACCAGTCTATAAATTCCTCTTCAGACTCATGTAACACATGCAATGATGCCGAAGGCAGGAAAATCACAGGCCAGTTGGTGGAAAGTCTTGTGGATCCAGTGGTGTTGGAAACATCTCAGTGCTGGCATGGGTCTCCACATGGCTCCTTCAGCTCCAGGGCTTTGGTTCCATCAGTGCAGCTCCATGTGGCTTGGCAACAGGAATGTCCTGCAGGGAGAGTGTGTGTCCTGTCTCCAGGGAGGAAGACAGGGGAAAAAATCTCCCAGAATCCTCAGCAGAAGGCCATGCCCACACAGAGGCCTCATTGGCTATGACCTGATTGACAGGTTAGACTCCACTCCTTCGCTCAAGTGGACAGGAGATTATGTAACTGCCACAGTGGTTTTTACCAAACCTTATATTGGTCTCACTAGTTAAAATTTTTTAAAGTAATAATAAGTTGTCTCTTTTAGTATAAGTCACTGCATTTCCTTCAGGAAGTAATGCAAGGCACAGCTAATGCAAGCAGACTTAATTAAACCCATTCACCTACTGGCTGAAAAACTACTTTGGTTCTTTAGGAAAATATCTTGCAGAGCAAGAAATTTGTTTCATCTACCAGTTCTGTTGTTATATAAACTGTAATCTAATCCCTACATAATAAGAATAGTCAACAAGAACCAAACTATACAGTAATGAATATGCTTGAGAGAATTTATGCATTCCACATATCTTCCAGAAACATTGTAGTTAAAAGGATAGGTAGAACAAATTTGTCTTTGAAATCAGTTCTTTTCTTTTAACAAAGTCACGGAGTCCACAAAGAAAATACAAAAGCATAAGGCTGTGAATCAATACTAGTTGGGTTGAGGCTACTACAGTACAGGTTATCCCAAGGCCACAGACCTCCTGCTTCCCAGTTGCTTGCACTCAGCTAGGTTTTGAGCCTTCTTCACATCATAGTGTGGATCATTTGCTTCATCTCCTTCTTCCCCTTCTGCATCTGCTTCCTCACCGTCTTCACCATAATCATCAACATCATTACTTTCATAGCTTTTCCAGTGAAGTCTAACATTGATTTGGGGCTTGTACGCTCACGTTTTGGTTTGTTTTTGTTCGTTCCCATTAGGGTGCATCTCAGAGGTGTTATGTCACCAGAGGTCACCTCTTGAAGTTGTGTTATATGATTTTCTGTTTGCTTAGAGTTTTTTTGGTATATGAAACTCAGGACTGATGAACCTACAGGGACAGTAATTAGAATAAGGTTTTTCGGGGGGGAGGTGGTAAGGTGGTGGAGGCGGGGTAAAGGGGAGATGATGTCAAGGAGTTCAAGAAGAAAAATTTTTGGAACCCGATTGTGGTCACAATTGTACAGTTCTGCTTGATGTGATTGTGGTAGTTACATAATCTGTTGTCAATTTGAGAGTATTAAGAGTGAAGGGGTGGGATTTAGCCTGTCAATCAGGTCACAGCTTGATGACCTCATTGGGAGACACCACAGAGATTAATCGTTCACTGGAGGTGGGACACACAC